CTTACCCTGGACGCGGATTTAGTTTATCGTCTTACCCAGGACGCGGATGTAGTCCATCGTCATACCCAGGACGGCCAGTTCCCGTCTCCTAATTTCAGAGATGCAATACTATTTTCCCGCAAAATATGCAAATCACTCTCTTTCTAGTAGAACGAATACTTTTTACCTTGTTGAATCACCTGTATTTCTGCCGTATTCCAAGAGTAAGGGGAAAGTTTCACTCAAATAGTCTTTTTTCTCTCAATAACTGATACCTTGCGGAACAGGCTCCCACGTAGGTGCTTTCCTGAATGTAAAATTCTTAATTTCTTCAAACATACTATAAGACTTTATCTATCCGCATAATGCACACTTCTTATTTTCATGATGATTAGTCCTTTCTTCTCGCTTTCCTTTACTACGTTCTGTAGGAATTCCTGTATTTTTCTTTCGATGACTTCCTGTTGTCTGCTATCTCCACTTCATATCATCCACCTGGTTTACCGTAACCATATTAACAGTTACCCTCAAATTTGACTGGCTCTCGAACCTTTATGTGCATACATAGGAGTAGATAGGTTTTCTTATCGTCCGGTTCACACTCCTCTCCTGTTTTTAAACAGGAGTAGAGGTTTATACCTTGTTTCTAGTTTAGTATTGCGTTTACGGATACGGTTCAATTCTATACTTCTAACGTTTTCCGCCTAAAACACTGACGTTTTTTTAAAGATATTTATTTAGTTTTGTCTTCCTCAATAGGAGTAGACAGGTTTGCCTATCACCCGGTTCACACTTCTTCACGGATTTTTGAACATGAGTAGAGATTTATCCTTTGTTTCCTGTTTAGAATTGAGTTTCGGATTCCATCTAAACTCTTTTCCTTCTTTTTCACTTCCATTGGCTCATTGCGTTTTAGTAGCATTATCATCTTACATGGGGTGGTGCTGCTTGCTCTGTAACTTCTAATTCGAGTGGCTCTTGGGCCTTGTACAGTGTGAACACTATTATCAAAAACAGCGTTTTTAATACAGTTTGGGGACAAAATTCAATCGGTTTTTTTTATTTTTTTCTCATACATTCATTTATAAATTGATTTTTTTTATCAGAAACCATAATTTTGAAAAATATTTTTTTTATTATTTGCATATACAAAGGAACCTCGTTTCTCGAACGTCTCACATGTCGAACAAATCGGTTATCGAAGAGAAAATTCGAGATGAAAATGGTTCGGTTATCGAAAAAAATTACGGTTCTCGAATACTTTCTGAGTCGACCGCCATGTTGTATACATTCGTGTGTTGTAGCGTAATTTTCTTTTCTAATTTTATTGTACTGCGACTTTTGTCTCTAAATTGATTCCTATTGGAAAAATAGTTTCGGTTTACGAACATTTCGGGTTACGAACGGCCTTCAAGAACGAATTAAATTCGTGAACCGAGATTCCACTATATACACTGCGTGCCAAATTATTATCGAGATAACTTTTTTTCCAATATTTCAAAAACCGTCCAATCAATTCACACAAAATGTTCACACAATGAACAATAAATAAGATAATCAAACAAATAATAACAGATACAAACAAAGGCACAGTTTTAAACAAATTAATAGAATGTGCTTTTCCCTGTTTTGAAATTACCTTGAAAAGTCGACGATCCATTGAATTTGTTAATTGTAGGATGTCATCTGCTGTAATGCCGCGAGATATGTCAAGAATTGCTTCCCATAACTCAGCGTTGCTCCTGAATTGTCGTCCGTTGGCATACAGTCTTCGCTTCATGATGTTTCAAAGGTTTTCGATTGGGTTCAAATACGGAGAATTTGCTCGCCACTTCATTTTTCGAGGTCCATCGAAGCCTCACTGTTTCAAATATTCAGTAGTCTTGTGAGCAGCATATGAGGGAGCATTATCTTGCATAAAAAACAATGGCCCTTCTGAAGGCAACTTTTTGCATTTTCATCCACGGTTCAAGATGCTCCTTCATAAACGCTTTGTATGCATCAGCAGTCATTTTGACGCCATCTGATACTCTCCATGGGCCTACTAATGTGTTTCCAATAATACCACCCAACATCATTATGCCTCCATCGCCTTGTTAGCGTCTCAAACTCTGATGGCGATTCTGTCCGTTCACTACCCAGCCTTTGCACCATCTATCTGGCCCATCAAGTGTTGCTCGAGTTTCGTCTGTGAACAAAACTTTTAGAAGTCAATCTTCATATTGTCCAGGCCTATTTCAATCGATTTTGAATGTGATTTCTCGTCAACGGGGCTTCGATACATGTTTGACTGTTGTTGCTATTTCCTCAGATACCGACACCCGAGTACTTTTAGACACAGTGGGATCCCCAATACGACTGAAAAGCTCTTGACTGGTAAGTCCAGAGTTCTTCGTGGTCTCTCGTTTAAGTCGTGACATGAGACGACGTGAAATAACCCTCGGATTGCCTTTATATGCCCTTTTGCGTACTTGTGTAGGGTCGGCGGTGAATTTTTCATTGTTTGATGACACTTCCCTATCATTTTAAAAATTTCTAGGGTAGATTTACCTTTTGAGAGTTCTGAGGTAATAGTTTTCTTTTCAGCATCACTTAAACTGCTTTTAGGGCCCATCTTTTCACTAAATCTTATACTTTTCTAATAATTTGGCACGCTCAAATCACCGTGCTGATAATAAATATGGCGCCAGTTTGTTTACATTGCGCAGATCAGTACGAAAATTTCAGTGATTACGCAGATCAGTGTTGCCAACACTGTGAAAATTTTATGTGAATTAATTGGACTGTTTTTGAAATATTAGAAAAAAGTTATCTCGATAATAATTTGGCACGCAGTATAGTATATATATATATATATATATATATATATATATATATATATATATAAAGAACAATGAGATATATAACGAGGTGGATGTTTTTATAGATATTTTATTTTTACAAAATAGTGCTCAATGTAAATTTACAGAGCATTAATATTATAAATTAATTGATCTAAAATATGTTTTTTCGCTACACAGTTCTAACCATGTTTCAAAACTGGAAGCTGAAAGCTGCGAATTTAATTTTGTAATTAAATTAAAGGCATTAAATATTCCATTTCATCCTCAAGCGAATTTTGGAGTAACCGTACTGGGTTTTAAAAAACACAGCAAAAGATCATAAATTCACGTTTACAAGGATATATATATATATTTATAGTGGAACCTCGCTTCACGTATTTAATTCGATATATATATATATATATATATATATATATATATATATATTTATTTATTTTCAGTTTGTTTTGCCATTTTTTAGCACGTCGACGTTGTTTTTTTGATTATTTCATTATAATTTACGATTACAAGAACACCTTTTTGATAATTTGTTTTCAAAAGCAATTTAGTTTTTAATCAACGCATTAACAGACATTACTATTTTCTTAATCAATTAGTATTTTTTTCTTTCAACTGTTCATGTATTTTTTTCCATTTTCTTTTTTATTATTTCTCAGATGACATGTTTCTCGAACGTTTTCTGTGTTTTGTTTACTGAAAAGGAAGCGCTGGCTTCACGGTCAATGAAAACTAAGAATATTTCGTTCAGATGGTTCGGGCGTTCGAGTTTAGCTTAACAATGTCTTTTGAGGTTATAGTGTGTGTGAGTGTGTGTGAAAAGTTTCCTTTTTTTTTTTATTGGTCCGTTGGGGCTTTTTTTTTTCCCGTTTTAACTTAACTCGAATAGTTAAGCGCTTAGCCAACACTTTTTTCCATTTTAATCTTTCCCTCCTTTCTGTATCTTTTTCTCCCTTAGATGACAGGTGATTTTTTTTGATAGTGGTGAAACGCATTTCGTATTTTTCGTTTCAAGTCGCGCTCCGTTTTCATTTACTTTTTGACTTCTCTCAATTATTTTTTTTTTTTTTTTTGCAATTTTGTTTGTGTTAAAAATAAATACTAACGCAGTTTTTTTTTTTTTTTTTTTGTACATATTCATCTATATATAAAATTCTGTAACTTACGTCAGTCCGCCCGTCTACCTGTCCGTCACCCCCCCTTTAAAATGGTTTCATTTTTTTTTAAACTAAATTTTGAGAAGTTAACAGATAAACGATTTACGATAAATAATGGATCTTTTTGTTATTGAGGTATTGGAAATCAAAGTCCATCTTCCTAAAAGTGTGTTTCGTTCTGCACAAGTCTTCACAACTATGATCAAATCATACGTGCGAGTAGTCTGGCCTATATATATATATATATATATATACATATATCTCGAACTTTTTTATTTATTGTCCACTGTAAATATATGACTAATATATTTACACACAAAATTTATCAAAAATAACTTTTGAAATCATTGGCTACATTTGACATTTGCCAACAAATATGGCGGCTGTTTTCTACAATTCATATTTTTTCCTTTTCTTTTCTTTCATTTTGGCCGGTGATATTCCTTGTCATATTTTGTCAGTTTTATTCCACAGATATTTTTTTCCCTTTTTTTGTAGTTTTATTGTAATTTTTTTTATTGATTATTGCAAACATTCGATCTTAACATTGCTTTATGGTTACGCCACTGTAGGTGCTATTCTAAAAGTTATTTGTTGGCGCCTCTGAAATCTCTCCCTACTCTGGAGACAATAGATAACAAGGATCTATGCTTCTAATAGAAAATTGACTCTCGATGAGTAGAAACAAGAAGAAGAAAGCCTCGAAATGAGTTAAGAGGGATTATGGAGGAAAATATGTCTGCTTTTAGTTTAGACATATCATATTGCAAATAAATACGAATAATTGGCATCTACGCTGGGATTATTCTCCAAGCTTTGATAAAAAAATAAGGACATAGTTCTGGTTCAAGAAAATATATATGACACGACAAAATTAGACGAGTATTTTCATCTAAATGTCCACTTTTGAATTTACAATCTCAATTTAAATTCAGTAGCCTGATTCTAAAAACTAAATTTAACTTTTGGTAAGAGTAAGAAAAATCGAATCAAATAGAAGCATAATAACAGGACATTAGGAAACTTACGGCCATATCACGTTGAAGCACAGGTCGCCGTACGATCAGCGAAGTTAAGCAATGCCAGTCCTGGTCAGTACCTAGTTGGGTGACCGCTTGGGAATACTAGATGCTGTAAGCTTAGATTAACGGGTGATACGACCATATCACGTTGAAACACCGTACGGTCACCGAAGTTAAGAAACGTCGAGACTGGTCAGTACTCAGATGGGTGACCGCTTGCAAATACCAGCTGCTGTAATCTTGGATTTGCCTTTGACTCGAATAGCTACAGCCATATCAGGTTAAAACATTGAATTGAACATCACTTTTTAAGCAATTCCATTCTTCCAGTACTTAGATCCTAACTGCATGGGAATATTGTGTTGTAAGTTTGGAGTTGGAACACTTGGCTTGGCTATTTCCGTTACAACTGGTTCAATAATAGGACCATTAGGACGTTTTCATGGTTAGAACCTATAATGGGTGGACATCTTTCTCACAAAAGAAACGTTTTTGCTGCTTCAAACTTGTTATAATGGACATCGGTCATCACGTTGAAACACCATATGATCCGTAGTTAAGCAACGTCGATCCTGGTCATTACCTATATGCATATATTGGATATATATATATATAATGGATAATAGCTCGGAATTGTTAATCGGAGAGCCGTGTTCCAATGGGTTCATAAAAACAGGAACTACAAAAAAGAATTTCCAACAAGCAAGAAAGCAAACAGCATCAATGCATTTATTTTATAGTTTATAGAGAATAGGAGTCAGTTCAGAAGCACATGTCGTTAGGACTACTGCAGGGAAACCAGCAAGTGCACATGCTTTGAGGGAATCAATTATAAAGATGATAGCAGACATTTATTTTATCGTAATGACATGCACTCAAACCGCAATGAATGAAAATATATATTTTTTTGTATTTACTCAACCCACCACGAGGCCAGGTTGTGAAACAAGGTCGGTTTAATGTGGGGAGCCTGAGCGCATACACCCGGGCTAGGGAAAAAAATTTAATCCGGCAATGTTGCGCTGGCCTCGGTACGAGCACCGATCCCTCTCTATGGTGCAATGAGAGGACGCGGCCCCCAGCAGCTGTTCCACAGGGCCGGGCACCTCTCAGTATAATTTTCCTCAGTTGCGACTCTATCCTTTGACGGAGCCGCCCTTGAGAGCTCTCTGCCCAAAGACAGAGACGCAATTAAGAGATGATAAATAATACAAACTATTCGAGAGCAATTTACACAATGAATGAAAATATAATACATAGTTATTTAAATGCCACAGATAATAATATGCACTGGAGATTGTACTTCTGAAATAAAAAGAAACAATATCTTATATAGGATTCGAACCTGCATCCTATACGGAACCGTCATTTACGCTGACGTGCCTTACCGACCAGCCACAAAGGGCGTCATTTAGACAAGGTCGAATTTACTGCTTATAAACTTCAATCTTCCATGAATCTCAATACATTCATAAAAGGACGAATATTTTCTATGAAAATTTCTCGGACATTCAGGCGTTGGGTAAATGTTATTTAATACTGTTTATTATAAACAGAGCATTTACTTAAATACTTGTATCTATAAAAACAACGTTAAACATAAAAATGTCTTTAATAAATAAATTGTCGAACTTTGTCCATTTCTTAATATATGACGTCATTTTGTTCATTACATTTGATACGCCAGAGCAGTTATGAATGTACGAGATTCATGGAAGATTGAAGTTTATAAACAGTAAATTCGACCTTGTCTCTGAACAAACGCTCCTTTGTGGCTGGTCGACGAGGCACGTCAGCGTAAATGACGGTTCCGTATAGGATGCAGGTTCGAAATCCTGTCAAAGGATGAATATTTTCTATGAAAATTTCTCGGACATGTAAATGTTATTTAATACTGTTTATTATAAACAGAGCATTTACTTAAATACTTGTATCTATAAAAAAAGAACGTTAAACATAAAAAATGTCTTTAATAAATAAATTGTCGGACTTTGTCCATTTCTTATATATATATATATATATATATATATATATATATATATCGTGATATATATATATATATATATATATATATAAGGACACGGTGGAGTAATGGATAGCGGCTTGGATTGAGGAATCGCAGAGCCTAGTTCGAATTCCAGTTGAATCCATTACATTCACTTACGTGCTAATACCCTTGGGAAAGGTGTGAATCCACTTCTTCTCCCCCAGCTATGGGTAAAATAGCAGGACAGACTGGGTTCTATAACCTTGGATGGCAACTGGTCTAGGAGAAGGACAACTCTGAATTCAAAACCTGCGGAGGGTCGTTTGGAACCTTGTGGCATTGTGAACCAGGTCCTGTATTCAAAAGTGTGGATGGGAAACCTTCACCATTATAATCAAATCTCATGTGCTGTTGTCGGGATGTCGGTTTCCTGGAAACTGATCTGCTTGACCCTCATACGTCGAATTCGATGGGACAGTCGACTATATATATATATATATATATATAAATCTTATTTTAGGATCATTTTTCAACTTATTCAAGATTATCCTCGCTCTCTCTAATCTTCTAACTTTCTGCCCTGGAGTAACAAGGTGCATCGCAGGTTTCGCGTATGATTTCATTCTGAAGTCTTTTTTTCGCTGCTCTTTGGACTGTCATAGCTGAAACTCCTCTCTCACCTGCCGAACGTCTTATGGATTAAGTTGGATCTTTTAAAATTAATCGCTTTAGCTCTGAATTGAAATCATGACCTTCTTGATGATGTCACCTCCTGATCCAGTTTTTCTCTTTACTGTTCCATCTTTTGTAAACTTATTCCCTATTCTATTGATGATTCTTGAATGGACTTTGAAGATGGAAGCCAGGCAATGAATGTTGTTACCATTACTCTCAGCATTGCGCATATGGGGAAACAATGGGGGTTACAGAAAACTATTTTTACCTGTTCTCTTCCTAACTGAATAATTCAAAGGGTTTTTCAGTGATTCTTACTATAAATGGTGTTGAGATGGTTAAACGTTTTATCTAATAACCTGGAAAAAAGAAAATTAATTTGTTTAGTGTTTTTGTGGTTGGACAATTATGCTATTACTCGATCTGGACAATTTTGCTGTTACACCCGGTAACACACACACACACACACATATATATATATATATATATATATATATATATATATATATATATATATATATATAATATTTTTATTAAAATATGATTCCTTCGCTACATAAGAGTTTTCATGTTTCAAAAACGAGAGCCGAAACCATCCAAATAATTATTAAAATTAAGTTGTAAAACCTAGGATGACCCATGCCCTTTATGCCTACACGAAAAACGACACATCATTAAATTTTCTAAATAATGAAAAATTATTAAACCCTAGGCAGGAGTTAACGGTTTTTTGCCGACATCAACAAACTTTCGCATTAAATAATTAGCATGAAAAAAAAACCCCCATAGCTTAATAAAAGTCTTAAAAGCTTAGCCAAATCATTAAATAGGAAAAACCCTTTCTGTAGTTGTCAAAAAAAAACTGATATTCAGTGCAATACGATTTGTATATAAAACACCCACTTGAATAAACAAATAAATAAATAGATAATCAGATGGACAATAATAAAACACAATCCTCCCGACACATAACGACTTGTAGGCGCGCCATAAAAATATCCCTCACTGGGAACCACCTAAAGGATGATCGCCAACATTAGCCTTGAAATAGATACCCTACCCAACCTTAGCAAAACCTCTCAGAAGATGATGAATCTATTGATAAGAATTAACTCTCTGACAACTTAACGAAGAAAAATAGTCTAGCCACTCCCACAATAACGAATTTTGTAATGGACCAACCCTAAAAGCACACGTAAACCAAGAGATAGCTTATTCCTAAAATTTCGCTTGAAGATGAAACGGGACTAAACACCCCAATTCAACTTAATTTTAATAATTATTTGGATGGTTTCGGCTCTCGTTTTTGAAACATGAGAACTCTTATGTAGCAGAAGGAATCATATTTTAAACAAAAAAATATTATTATAATAAAACTCTACTTCTGTATGGAGCACTGTCTTCTTAAAAATAAAAAACAAAAATACTAAGGAACTCCGGATTATGCACCCAACGTGTTCTTTTCTATTTTCTGTTTTCTGTATACATTATATATATATATATATATATATATATATATATATATATATATATATATATATATATATATATATATATATATATATATATATATATATATATATATATATATCCATTGTTCCTTCTGATCAGTTATAGCGTTATCTGCATATCTGTATTCAAAAGTTAAAAAGAAAAATATAGTTCTATGTCTTTTGGTCTGCGAAAATAGGCAAGATTTTTCATGCTGTCGTATTCATTATTTTCCATTTTCTTTTCTTTTTTATTTTTATTTTTTTTGCTGTCTCGTTCTCCTTTCGTGAGTCTGTTTCTTTGAAAACGATAAAAAGCAAACCTTATTTTTGAAGCGGACGCCTTATATATATATATATATATATATATATATATATATATATATATATATATATAGAGAGAGAGAGAGAGAGATAGATAGATAGATAGATAGATAGATAGATAGATAGATAGATAGATAGATAGATAGATGGGTAGGTGCTCCTGCAGGGCGAACTAAATTGGGAGAACGCTCTGGTTCTACTAAATAAATATTTTCGAAATTCCCAATGAAAATAGAGTCTTAAAAGCAATGGCGCTGCTCTGCGGTCGCAGTTCTGCGCCGAGAAGCACCAGCTTATCAAGTCTACAAAGAAACACAACGGTGTAACATGATATGATCCGCACCGTCGAGGGCCCCTCGTCGTCTTCGCACTTCTAGGCGAATCGAAAAAAGAAATCACTGCACATTTCATATTTTTAATATCCATCGTGTGCTTCTATATTAGTTTTTCTCTTTGAATTGTTTTAAAAATTGTTGTGTGTGCGTATGTATATGCGAGTGTATTTGTGCATGTACGTATTTACATGTATGTTCGTGGGAATATATACATATTATTATGTAAGGCACTGTATAGTAATGGATAGCGGCTCAGATTGTGGAACCGGAGAGCCGAGTACGAGTTTCAGTTGAGTCCATTATGT